CTACTCAGAAAGTAGCAGAGGCTTGTGTACTGAAATTCAATAGCAAATACACATAAAAAGGAATTTCATTTATCAGTTCTAATAAAAAGTGCCTCCTGAGTTTCAAAACGCTCTCCAGGTGGACGGGATCAGTACCAAATGATCTGATCTTGGCCAAGACCTAAAATTAAGTTCGAAAGTATTAAACATATTTTTTAAAAAATAGTAATAATGGATACAACAAAGATGCTTAATAATTATACAAACAAAAAAGGATACAATTTAACTTAGAGAGCATTATGAAGAAAAAGAAATGCTTCACAAACTTTGATTCCCATGATAGACAAATGTAGAAGGAAGTGAAGCAAAGAATATAGTTACAAGTTTGGTATTTCTTCTTTTAAAATACTAAAGGTAACTCTATTTCTATTTTACCTAATAAGTTTTTAAAAGTGCATTCAAACTGCAGCTTTTAGAAGAAAGGAATAAAAACATCACTGTTCCAAAAATGTTCTAAGAAAAATTAATATAGCTTTCCAAAATATCTAAGTTATTTCTTGGGAATACTTGCACACCTGGGGGTGAGGGGGTGAGTAACAACGTTTACAAAAGAAATATATCAGGCATTTAGACCATGCATTCTGCGTGTTGTTAACATTACCGTCTCAGCACATTTTCCTACAGTGTGATATCCTAATTAATAGGAAATCACAATCTCCTTCAGATTAGAATTAGTGATGTTTTTGAAGACCATTTTGGCTATTTGATATGCTTTTATACAGATTTTTGAACAGCTTCCTCAAAGGATAAACAGCAAGTTTAGGTGCATAACAAGATGAATTCTTTTACAGCCAAAGCTGCCATAGTAACTTTACTAGTTTCTTTCATTTATATCTTTCTAAACCATTCTCCCACTTAGCTCTTGTCCCACTTTTGCAGATATCCAAGCTTAAATGAAATGGAAGGGAAAGGAAGTGACATGAATAACTGGCCAATGATTTCATAATGCAATTCAGATACCTGTGTATTATGATCAAATTTCAATTCTTTAGGAATTGGCTATTCATTTTGTAGATTATCCAGATTCTGCATTTCTGCTGTGCCTATTAATATGTTTAGGGCATTTTCTTTTCAAAAGTAAACCCACCAGAGGATAAGAAAAAGAATGGAAACTAACCTTATAAAGACTGCATCTGTTATCAGTTCAAGTAACACGCAAGTCATTTAATGAATAAGGACTATTTATTATCATTATAATGGATAATTTTAATTCAGAAGTTTAAAACCAGTGTTTCTTGGAAGGATGTGACTTGAGGACACATTCTGTTTAGCCTGTACAGTGCTAAAGAAGCAAATGTAATCCAACATTTAAAAAGAGAGGTCACAAAAAAGTTAGTTTTTTAGCTTCCTCCTACCACCAAATGAAAAGATTTGGCAGTAGTTGGCCAAACTGCCACACAGTTGGCTAGAGAAGAGCAGTAGCTCTCCCCTTCTAATGCGAAAAGGGCTATAGTTCCCACCATTTGCTGTTGTCACTAACACCAAGGTCAAATGTCAGTAGTCATTTGTCATCAAGGTTTACCTTTCTTTTTTAATTATTCAGAACATTTCTTTGGACTCATGAAGAAATAACAAATATACCTAAAGACCCCCATGTTTCTAGAACATGGGAAAGAACACAATTACATGTTCAATATAAAAGTAAATTTGTCTCTGCAAGAGACTTCAACGTAAAATATCATGATGAAGTAAGTCACAAAAAGACCTTATTTGTATTAATTCTAGGAACACGCCAGACGTTGAGTGTTTGATCCATGCAGTAATTCATAGAAGACAGATGATTTTTTTTGTGATATTTAAAAGTATGGTGAAGAAGACTTCATTTCATTATTTTTATGTTTGTTTAATCAACAAACATATAGGCTCTCTGAAAATTGGCATATCACTTGTTGCTGGGTTCTAAGAATGTTTTACAGAGACAAGAAAGTTCTGTTTACAAGTAAAACTTATTAAATGTCTGAAATTAAATATCTGCAATTGCTCTGAACTTTATTTTTCTAAGGCCAGATTTCATTACTTTTTTTTTTTTACTGTTACAAGTAAATTCAGCATCTAGAGGAAATAATTTTATTTATATAGACAGTGTTTATGTTTTAAAGTTGCTCCTGGTATTAATATAAAGTAATAAACAAAAAGCTGTTTTAACACTGTATATTTTTAAAAGCACACATGGAACCTTCTCCAGGATAGATCACATCCTGGGCCATAAAAAGCCTTGGTAAATTCAAAAAAATCAAAATCACTCCACGCATCTTTTCTGATCACAATGCAGTAAGTATTAGATGTCAATAACAGGAGAAAAACTATTAAAAATTCCAACATATGGAGGCTGAACAACAAGCTGCTGAATAATCAACAGATCACAGAAGAAATCAAAAAAGAAATCAAAATATGCATAGAAATGAATTAAAATGAAAACACAACAACCCAAAACCTATGGGACACTGTAAAAGCAGTGCTAAGGGGAAGGTTCATAGCAATACAGGCTTACCTCAAGAAACAAGAAAAAAGTCAAATAAATAACCTAAAGCAACTAGAAAAGGAAGAAATTAAGAAGCCCAGGGTTAGTATAAGGAAAGAAATCTTAAAAATTAGGGCAGAAATAGATGCAAAAGAAACTAAAGAGACCATAGCAAAAATCAACAAAGCTAAAAGCTGGTTTTTTGAAAAAATAAACAAAATTGACAAACCATTAGCAAGACTCATTAAGAAACAAAGGGAGAAGAACCAAATTAACAAAATTAGAAA